TTCTTCTTCTTCTTCTTCTTCTTCCTCCTCCTCCTCCTCCTCCTCCTCCTCCTCCTCCATTTCTTCTCCCTGCTCTTCCTCCTCCTCCTCCTCACAACTTGTGTTTTTAATTCCAAGATAGCACCTCATGTATAGAGAAAGAATGTGAAGCTAATTAAAATTAAGCACTTCCTTCTTTGTTCTACATTTCATTATCACTGATTTGAGACTGTCCTCAAAAACTAAACTAAACTCTTGCCATTCAAGATGGAGACGTAACTCTCCCATCATTGTCCCCCTGAGAAAAACTGGTATTTGGAGGCATGTTGCCCATCACTGAGAGGTAACCTTGAGTCCATGATGAAGACCTTCTGTTTTTCCAAGGTCTCTTAAATTGAGAATATTCTAATCTTCCACATTTTTACTGTTTATTATTCAAGATATAGGGCATCTAGACCCACCTGCTGCTTGGTGCGGAAGCCACTAGAGCACTTCTGATCCAGCCTCAATTAAAAGCTCTCTAGTAAAGGAGACCTCATGTGGCAGCCTGTTCCACTGGCTCAGAGTTTGTACAGTCAGGAAGTTCCTTCTCACGTGTAGCCTGAACCTCCTTCCTTGTAACATTAAGCTTGGTTCTCCCTCTGGGGCAACAAGTCTTGACTTTTTTGATAACCCCACTACTGACATCCCTGCACAAGAGTGTACCAGCTTCTCATGATTTCACAGCTAACCAGTTTGATGGACACTTCTTCTCCACATTATGTGCACCCCATCTTTTCTTTCATTCGTCTGCCTCTCGGTATTCAGGTAGTAAGTCATCAGCACATAAGTGGAGAATAATTTAGCATATAACATTTATGATCAGTAATGCATATACAGTGCAAATCCTTTTATTCACTCCGATGGGAAGAGTAATCCAGTTAGGTGATCATTCAACGGGGAAAAAAAATTCCAAGTCCAAAGTTATTTTCAGTCTGTCATATAGAGAATATTATTTCTCCTTTGCAGGTTGCGGATATCGGCTCCCTAGATGAGCAGATCATGGCATTGCACACTGAAATTGTAGAACTGCAGAGAAGCCTCCACGTACGACGTCAAGGCGATATAATGGAAAATCTGTAAGAAAATAAACTTTTCTCATTATGCAACTCACATAACAGTAGTAGGGTTTATTATTATTAATTAACCTCTACTAATCATTTAATAGAGCTATAGCTAATAAACCTTGGATGTGCCCAAAAATGTTATAAATAAATGTACTTACCAACAAGCAGCTAAAGACCTAAAATTTTTATGTCTTGATTTGGCCATTCAGAGTCTTCTCTGATCAGGGACATTCACAAACACTGCCCCGGCAACCCGGTGCCTCTGATTCTTATATCATGTTGCCCGTGTTCTCTGTTTGGCTCATGGAGTGAGTGGCTGAGATCCAGCAGCAGGAAGATTGGGAGGAAGAGGGCTGGGGTAGGGAGAGATGTGAAAATGGCCATCGCGGACATGAATTGAAAGGCTGAAGGTGAGGAGGATCTCCCTCTCCCTTCTTAATCAATGCCTATATTGAAAAAAGGATACCGTATTTATAGTTATAACATGGTTCTGGAATTAAATGTGGAACATTATGCCCATATATTCCTTATTTGGTGAGTTGCAATACTGAAATCCACCATGGTTCTATAAGTGGTCCACCATGTTGGACTGAGTGAAAAGCTGAAAGTTTGGCTGTGTCAGGTGCGCTACACATTTAGAAACAAAACCTCATTCAACCTTAAGAGGATCACTTTCATGGTTTTGCTGCCTCTCTTGCTGTAAAATTGTTCCTGGGCAGAACTATAAATATTTTGCTTGCCACGGCCTTTATTTACTGCCTTTAAGATCTACCAGGTTAAAAATCCCACAGTTTTATTGAATGTAAACACTTTCAGGCTCCCACTCTTACCAAAAGCAAAAGTTAAGAGTTTGTTATGTTTGCATTTCTAAATCTTATGAACTCCTAACCCTTGACTACTAAAGGGGAACTGAGGAGGAAATTGTGTTTACAGCTGCAGCATCTCTCCACAGGGAACAGCGAGCTATAGAACTCTACAAGCAGCTGAAATCAAGGCCTCCAGGTATGGCATTGGAAGAGGTGTTGGTCTTAAGTAGGAAGTTTGCAAAGGCAGGCAGGTGCCTAAATAGCTGTGTTAAGATTTGGTTTAACTCTTAAAAACAAAACTGAACAGCCAAATCATCTGTGCAACTTATTCATTTTGCATCTTTTTCATTGGTTTTCTAAGCTTATTTGGTCATTACTAGCTGTTCCCACTTTGAGGGTGAAAATTTAGAATATACAGGCTGTTCCTACACTGATGCTATTATCCCACGTCTAGTCAGATACTTCACCATTCCTTTAAATGGTGTTTTAGCAGTTTTCGGAGCATTCTGGGTTGGGGAAATATTAAAAGATGCAATACTGAAAGCCTCATTTGATGGCAGCAAAACTTTATAGCTATCCTGCCATGACCAGGATTTCTGATCAGATATATCAGCTACTGAACTGTTAAAAAAAATATTCTTGTTCTTGATGCTAATTTAAAGTTTATGTGGCTTTTTTTAACGTCATCCTTTGAGTTAACATCTGACTGCCAATGCTTTTTTATGTGGAGTAATGTTTGATCTCTCTCTTTCAGATCATTCATACAGTGACAGCACAGAGATGGTGAAGATAATTGTCCAGACAGTCCAGAGTCAGGACTGGGTCCTCAAGGAACTCTTCAGGCATCTTAGGTAAAAATGCATGCACACCTTTGATCCACCACTGCACTTTTTTTTTCATTCCTATTCAGTGCCCAGGTAGCAGAATGATCATGATCCAAGGAATGTCGTTAGGTCAGTGTGGAGTTTCATATGTGGTGCCTGCCCTCTATCAATTTACTTAATCTTTTGCTCTCGTTTTTTAAAAAAATAAATACTAAAAATGTGGAACTAATTATTCCAAATGTATTTCTAGTCAATCCAAGCTTGTTCATAGTTTCAAAACATACTTCCTTAAATTGATCTGATGTTGTGAAAGAAGCAAACATCCTGTGTACCCTTAGGAACGGGCTGTCTCTAAGACCCCAGTGGACAGTCCAGAGGCCAAAATCAGCTCCAGGGAATGGAGGATGTCAAGGCTTGAAGGCAGCCCTAACATGTCCTCTCAGAGAAACTGGTATAAGAAGTGTTATCCTTGCTATATTTTCCCAATTTTGATTGCCAAAATGGATAATTCATTTTTTAAATCATTGTTGGAAATGAAATGAGCAGATTGAATCATTTTTTCCCATTTGGTGGCAATGCCATAAAACTCACTATTCTGGGAAATCATTCAACCCACCATATTCTTATTGCACTTCACTGAACCACATATCCCTCCCCCCTCAAGGTATACTGAAGTAGAGCTATATATGAAAACTGCTGTGAGGGTATTACATGCCTCTTAATGGAAAGGACAGCTGAGCAATTCAATGGAAGAACAGCTAACCAAGCTGTGGGAACGTGCTTCAATGTCCCAAAAAACTTCCTATCTTAAAAACAAGTCTGGCACAGATTCAACTCAAACAGGAACCAAGTTTGGATTTGTTTAAGCACAGAGTCTGTATTTCAAACTTACGAGATACATAAATCAGAAAATATTTTAGTAATATAGACTGAATTTAAAAGTGTTGAATACAGGAAAAAAACAAACAAGTACTAAAACATGTGCCACTACAGTCATGACATTCCAAAACGCTTTTTTTTTTTTACACATACTGAATTTCTCTTCAATAGAATGGCAATAAATGTTACAATTTCTGGGAAGGAAACAGAGCCTGAGAAAGCGTTCTACCGAAAAGGTATCTGAGCACTGAGCAGAACATTTGTGCGAAAACAATGACAAAAGGAGGGGATTGAAGGAAGATAGCTAGAAAAATGGCTGTATCTGTTCCCTGGCTATTATAGAGGCCACAACGTCCCTAAAAATAGCATTGAGTATGTCCTTTATTTGTTCTGGATAACCTAGTACTAGTGTTGAGGGAAAAGATCAATGCCTGTCCTCTAAGTATCTCTTTTCTTTTTGAATCATAGCAAATTGTTGGGCTGTAAACAGAAGATAATTGACTTGCTTCCAAAGATTGAAATGGCTCTGAACAGCATCAAGGAGGCTGACAATTCAGTGATGCAAATGCAAGGGAAAAGGCAGAGAGAAATCTGGCATTTGCTGAAAATTGCTTGCGTAAGGATTTGGATTCCAGTTAGAGAAGCAATATTGCAATGTTTATGAATATTTAATACAGTCTATCAAGGTTACATTATAAATAAGTGTTGTATTTGTGTATCAGTTTGCTGACAATGCTAACTTGTAAATGGAATTTGTTTCAAATACTAGCCTATACTTGTGTCCGATTGCCAAGTGGAGAGACATGTACAGTATGTCTGTTTCCAGGGTGAGAAATTGCCAGAAATATTCAGCCAACTTTCTCCCCAGTCACATGTAGAAGTCAGAGGTTCATTGTACATCATCTAGAAAAGCTGAGTACAGATTTGGACATTGCAGGACATGAGAGGATGAAGCACTCTTAAGACCCTATTTTATACAAAATGGGGAAAAATGTTTAGGCACAAAACGACAGGTTTGAAAGTTTGGGTTCCACTGATTCTGATGACATTCCAGTGTCACCAGCCGCACCCCTGTTGCAGATTCGACCCCTATGCGGAAAAGACATTGCCCCAGGTCACCTCTGCACCGTACGGTAAATATCAATCATGAATGGATGTGCCCTGTCCTAGATTGCCTCTTTTCCCATAACCGTTTAAGGCTGAAGTTGGTAATTATGGGATAGTCACACGTTGGCACCATACTGGCCATGTTCGTAGGACATAGCTGACCCAGCAGTCTTTAATCCCAGTCAGTTCATTCAGCTCTGAATGCCAACAGTGCCCAGCCAAGTGTATTTTATGCATTTTTTCATTCTCATGTGGCCAGGAGGGGGAAATGGAACACAGCTAATCCTGCTGATGGAGGAAGAGTTACTTAACTCCCTGGATGCTACTGTCTACCACCGAGAGTTTAATTAACGCCAAATTATTCCAGAGCTGGGTCGGCTGGCCCAGTTTTCTATTCGCACAACAAACTACTATCGTCATGACCCATTTACCGCATCATGCGATCAGAGCCATCGAGAGTAAAAACAGTAGCCTCGCAGGATGCAGATACTGTGCTAAAAGTGTGCATTTCTATTCTAACCCTTCTGCTTTTCTTTTTCCTTGTAGACTCAAAGTTCTGCTCGATCTGCCAGTTCCAGTGTAGACGGTACTGTTCCATCTTCCGTGCCTGCTTGGTTCTCCCAAACCGCGTCAGCAAATGTGCTTCAGCCCCTTCCTTTTGTGGAAGCTTCTAGAAATGCGTAAGATAAGGGGAATGTGGCTCTTTCTTCCTATTTGAAATCATTCCTCACAGTTGGTAATTTACGCTCCTGTCAGGAAATGCAATACTTCATTAAACAAACAGACAAACAAAAGAGCTATAACAGCATAATGAGGATGGTAACTAAAACATACAAATATAATATCTTTCATTTTTTACAATATTAAAAAACCATATGCTCTGAATGAACAGTTAGTAGAATAAATAATACCTATATGATATGAAATTAAAATGTAAAGGAAAAAAGAAAAGAATGCTTGAAAATAGGCAAAACAACTCCATGATTTTAGGCAAAACAGCTTGTTTGTACTGAAGAAATATGTCTCCACATTAGGAAAGGTTAAGTTAAGCTTGACACCTGGTGATTTCCGGATATCTTTATGTCGTTTCCTTGGCAACAATATGGAGATGTCTCTTCTCCCAAAATTGCGATTGCCTTCTCCTGGGATATGTTCTCAACCTCTCAATCCACCTCTTAAACCAGGGGTTTCTGGGGGACCTTCCCTCAAAGCACAAACCAGCTTGTTCATCCAAGTTATTAATTGCTGCCGCCTTGCTGTAGAGATGTCCATACGTTAGGGTGGCTGTAAAAGAATGTCAAATCTTCTTTCAATTAGATTACACTTAAAATCGTGCAGAATATTATGAATCCAAGAACATAATTGGTTCCAAAAAGGTTCCAAAGTTTGATTTTATCCCCTCAGTTCTATATAAATGTTGGAAACCACTGTGTATTCTGTTTTTTAATGGTGTTAATTTGCTAATCTAAGAATAAGTATTAAAGTCTGGCTTTTTTTCACCTCACATTCCTTCTTCAGCAATGAACAAGTGAATCTGCTAATTAATTTGCAACACCTCTTGCAGGCTTAGAATTGCTACTTTTCATACTTTCTCCCTGCCCCCCCCCG